TGTCTGTAGTGTTTTTAGTCTCCATTAATTTCTGCTCTGATTTTTATAATTTTCTCCCTCATACGAGCTTTGGGCTTGACTTGCTCTTCTTCTTCTAGAAACTTGAAGTTCCACAATAGGTTGTTTATTTGAGCCCGCTTTGTTTTCCTGATATGGGTATTCACTGATATAAATTTCCCTCATAGGACTGCTTTCATTGCATCCTATGAGTTCTGGTATGTTGCATTGCCATTGTAGTTTAACTGTAGAAATTGTTTGATTTCTGCTTTAATTTCATCATTAACCATCTGGTTATTCAGGAGGGTGTTATTTAATTTCCATGTGTTTATGAAGTTCATGTGGTTTCTTGAGCCATTGATTTCCAATTTCATTGCACTATGGTCTGATAATATGCTTGGGATAACTTCAATCCCTTTGCATTTACTTAAGCATGTTCTGTGAGCTAGTGTGTGGTCTGTTTTGGAGAATGTCCCATGTGCAGTTGAGAAGAACGTGTGTTGTGATGTTGTGGGGTAGAACACTCTAGAATCATCTATTAAGCCCAAAGTTTGGTTCAAAAGTTTGATTCAGGGGCTGGGGATTTAGCTCAGTGGTTCTGGCTCCTGCCTTGAAAGTCCAAGGTCCTGAGTTTGATCCCCAGTACAAACAACAAAAAAAGTTTGGTTCAGTTGTAATATTTTGTTGTTGATTTTTTTTTTTGTCTAGTTGATCTGCCTATTTGTGACAGTGGGATATTGAGGTCCCCCATTACAACTGTATTTGTGCTTATTTGATTTTTCATGTAGGACTACTTTCATACATGAGAAAGCTCCCCTTCAACACAGTTTATAGTAGTTAGCAAAAGAGGCAAAGTTACTGATGATGGAAAAAGATTTGAATGGAGAAAAAGATCTGGAGTCCTGGATTAGGATCTATTTTCTCTTTCTTTAGGATCTATTTTCTGCAACTTGCTAGGTGATGTTAGGAGATAACTTCCTTAGACCTTAGTTTCCTTATTTATAAAAGTACTGTAATTGTTTCTCTTTCCTGTCTCACTTCTCTGTTAATTAGAGCCAAATAAAAGAATGTATGACATATCTAAAGAACACTTTATATAAGACAGGCGTGGTGGCACACACCTGTAATCCCAGGACTCAGGAGGCTGAGGCAGGAGGATCGCTGTGAGTTCGAGACCAGCCTGGGCTACATAGTGAGTTCCAGGTCAGTCTCAACTACAGAGTGAGACCCTGTCTCAAAAAACCAAAAAAAGAAGCACTTTATATAGATTAGCACTAATTATAACCACTGTCAGTGGGACTATCATTTTAGCAAAGTGTGAGACTGTCTCAAAAAACCAAAAAAAGAAGCACTTTATATAGATTAGCACTAATTATAACCACTGTCAGTGGGACTATCATTTTAGCAACTTGCTTGGAAATTAAATTTTACTTTAGTTTGAGGTGGTCGTCATTTGTATAGTTATAGTTATATTTCCAGAGTGTCCTGTTAAAATACAGATTTGTATTATAAACTGTCACTACCTTGGGTGTGATCAGTTTATGCAGTGGACTAGTTTCAAAACCACAGGATCCTACAAAAGAAATATTTTAAGTTTGACACTGTTCTGAGACCACCACACATGAAAGACCAAATGTAAACCTGGGTAACTGACCAGAGAGCACCAAGGCTGGGACAAGAAGTGCTGAAAAGGCTGAAAGTGCAGGAGCCAGGCTTTGCCCTCCTCATAGGTTACCTTGGGTCTCCATCTTGATTTGTAAAGGTTGATTTGTCTCAACTTTGTCATCTATAAAATATAGTAAACTCAGGTATTATCTCCACCATACAAGATTGATTTAAAAACTATCACAGTAGTCCTTTGATTTTGCTTACACCAAACCACTCAAAGCACCCACCCTGCCCCTGGTATCATATGTTTTCCCTTTACTCCCTAGCACTCACACACTCTTTGGAGGATTTTGTGCCCATGTTGGGCACTATGCATGCATGTTCCTTGAATCTAGCTTTAATTGGAGATGTCAGTTCATAGGTCTAGTTATATGGCTAATAAGACGTGGGTAAAAAAAAATTCTATATTTCTTATTTTTAATTAATTAATTAATTAATTTTTTGGTACCAGGAATTGAACTCGGGACCTTGTACTTGTGAAGCAGACAGTGGAACCACTAAGCTAAATCCCTGGCCCTATTCTATATTTCAAAGTTAAAATTTGACTGAATTTCCTAATAGAGCAACATTCAGTTTTTCAATAATTCAGCATTTATTAAGTTCTAGTCACGACTGTTTGGTGATGAACGAAACAGACATAGCTCTTATCCTTAAAGATCTTCCAGTTTGGAGGGGGATTTAGTGAACAGAAAGTGAATAGTCAAATCACTGAAAGATGGGGAATGTTGGGAAAGAAATGAACAGACTATGATGATTTAAAGAAATAAGGAGGAACATACTTAAATGATTTGTCAGTATATAAGTCCATGCCTGAAGGATGAGAAAGAACAGGCCTTTGAAGAGTGGGCGTGGGAAAGCATCCTAGGCAGAGAGACCAGCATATGTAGAGACTCTAAGGTAGGAAGAGAGAGAGCTTTGTGTGATTAAGGATCTGAAAGAAAGCCAGGAGGACCAGGAAGTCGGGGAGGGGAGGAGGCATATATTTTAAAACATAATATATTTCTGTTTTTATTTTGGAAAGATTACTCTGGTGTCTGTAGAAAGTAATTGTAGTGTTTGATGAGGCAGAGATAAGGGGAATGACTAGTTATGAGGCTGTTGCAGCAATTCAGGTGCCAGAGGCAGTGACTTGTATTTAAGAGTCCGGGGGTGATGGCAAGATGTGGAGAAATTTCTCTAGAATGTTTAGGACATACTATTGGAGTCAGTGTGACGGCCAAGGAAAAGAAGAAATCAAGGTTTCTAGTTTGAACAGATGTGTGAAAGGTAATACTGTTTACTGCCTTGGGAATAACTGGGGAGAAATAGGTCTGAGGAGTGGGTGAAAATCAAAGCTTCACTTTTAATCATGGTAAACCTGAGGTGTCCATGGACCTACCAAGTAGAACTATCTAGGAAGAAGTTGGGCCTGTGGGCTGGAGATTTATATTTTCAGCATTTCTAAAACAATGGCAGGGCTTGAGGTCACTTAGGAAGAGTGCAGAGAAAGCGGAGGAGAAGGCTGCTGTAGAGCCCTTAAGAACCACAATATTTAGCCTGGGCGTGGAGCCTAAACTGAACACTCAGGAGAATCGCCACAAGTTCAAGGCTAGCCTGGACTACATAGTGAAGTCAGGGTTAACAGAACATTTGGAGGGTGGAGGTAGGAACAATTAGAGGAACAAGAGAAAGGTAAATAGAATTGCTAGCAAGGTGGGAGCATGGGGTGCTGGGCAGGTCAGGCGTCTATTAGACATTGTTCAGTGTTTGTTTTTTTGTGTGTTTTGTTTTGTTTTGTTTGGTTTTTTTGAGACAGGGTCTCACTATGTAATTGAGATTGACCTGGAACTCACTATTTAGTCCAGGCTGGTCTCGAACTCACAGTGATCCTCCTGCCTCAGCCTCCCGAGTTCTGGGTTTAAAGGTGTGCACCACCACGCCTGGCTGTTCAGTATTTAATATCGTTTTTATATTCACAAAACACCCTTTGCCTGTTTTTTGCAAAGTTATAAAGCCAGCCTGGGTAACACTGCTGAGACCTTGTCTCTTAAAAAGAAAAAAATCAAATGTTACATAAAGGCTTTAGGCCCCTCTTCCTTTAAAAAGAAAATCTGGATACCCATTCTCACCCCAGTGGTAGCCACTGCTTAAAATTGTTAGATATTTTCAGAAGAAACGGACAGATTACTAGATATATTTGAATTACCAAAATTGAATCAAGAAGATATAGAAATTCTAAATAAATCAATATCAGCTAATGAAATTGAAGATGTAATTAAAAATCTACCAACAATGAAAATCCCTGTCCCTGATGGATTCACTGATGAATTCTACAAGAAATTTAGAGAAGACCTAATGTTGCTCCTTCTCAAACTCTTTAATGAAATTGAAAGGGAAGCAGTACTCCCAAATTCATTCCTGGAAGCAAGCATTACCCTGATACCAAAACCAGAGACGAATCCAACCAAACAAGAGAATTACAGGCCAATCTCCCTAATAAACACAAGTGCAAAATCCTCAATAACACGCTGGCAAACAGAATGCAGCAAATAATCAAGAAGGTTATGCACCATGACCAATTAGGATTCATCTCAGGGGTGCAGGGATGGTTGAACACATGCAAATAAATAAATGTAATACACTACATTAACAACGCCAAGAATAAGAACTATATGATCCTCTCAATAGATGCAAAAAAAGGGTTTTTTGTTTGTTTGTTTTTTCCTTGGTACCAGGGATCAAACTTGGGACCTTGCACTTGCAAGGCAGGTGCAGTGCCACTGAGCTAAATCTCCAGCCTAACATGCTGTAAATATATAGATGTACCTACCATTCTGCAACTTGCTTTTTTCTGTTTTTATTCGCTGGAGGCTTAGTCATATTGATACTTGTAGTTCTGCCTCGTTGCTAGCAAATACTTTCTAGTGGAAAAGAATTAAATAAATATATCAGAATTACAAACTACAATGCAAAAATTTTCCTTATGGGTACTGATATTAATGAAGCAATGGGTGCTAGAAGCATTCATTATCTAAGTGTCAAGCCAGGCTCAGGAAGATTATCTTCTAATCGAGTGGCAGCATTTACAGTGCTCCACAGAAAGTGAAATGATTAAAGAAAAATAATATGCATGCCTATGTTATTTGATACACTAAATGTTTTCTGAGTATAGACAAAGATGAAATTAGAATTGGAAATCATTTCTTAGCTGTTCATCTGTTTAAGTAAAACTCTGTGAGGTCAATTTATTCAGAAAGCTTGTGTTAACATTAAGCTGAAAATGGAATTGGATACTATGCAAAAGTTAGTGCATAAGTATTATTTATCAGACCAACACATCTTGTCAAAAGCTACTCATGGACCCAGCAGCCATCACTCAAACGCCGGGAAGAAGCCTGGGCCCCGATCCACTGCAGGAGGGAGAACCACGCCAGCTCCCGACCCAGCAGCCATCGCTCAAGTGCCGGAAGGTAGCGCGCCCCTGAACCCCCATAATCCCTCCCCCCGCACTCTCAGACCTCCTGACTGTGCAAGTCTTTGGTCCCACTCTGCAAAGACAGAGGTGGTCATCAAGAGTATTTTTCTGAGTTCCCAACTTTGAACATCTTTAAAGAAAGGGCGGGGGAAACCTGTAATAAAACGTTGCGGAGTTCAACCATTCAGAAGAATGGGGAACTCAATCTGGGCCTTGCAGCCCGAGGTCAGTCAGCTTCATGGGGTTCAGCAATCAGCTAACTGAGATCAGGGGTCTTGCATCCTCACTCTGTCTGAGCCATCAAATGGTAAATATACTATATTGAAAAGTTTGTTCACTGCAGACATGTTCTGGACTGCTTCTTGATTTCAATTTAATTCAAATGATTTAAGGGCGATAGACTAGTGGCTACCACAGGTGGTCAGTGTCCAAGTTGTGCTTGATCTTAATGTGTTGCTCATTGTATCAGTTGGAGTAAAGCATTGCCGTTGATTTGATGAGCTGTTTTCTATGATGTTATGAAGGTGAGAATGTCTGGGGGTCGATAGAGACACAGAAGCTAGGGTGCAACTATATCAGGAAGATTTGGGTGACAATCCAGAGATTAAACCACAAGG